ATGGCTTTGGACAGCACAGGAAGGAGGGTTACAGGGCGGTAGTTAGCGGGATCGCTACGGCAACCACCTTTATAAATAGGTGAAATTACTCCCTGCTTTCATGACGGTGGGATTGTGGTGTAAACGAACATCCTCCGGAATAAGAAGGCTAGTGGCTCAGATATTTGATTTGCCAAGCAGATAAGGGTCCGGGGGTGAATGTTGTCTGCACCTGCGATGCATTCTTCCTCAGGGCCAATAGCTTTGTTTCAACCTTTCGGCAGTGAAGGATCTGGAATTTGATGCATCCAGCGAGGGAGGGACATTCGTTCATTAGTTGACGCAGCAAAAACGTGGGCATACTGGTTCTTCATCATTTCAGCGGCTTCCATCGTATTGGCTGTGACTCTCCCAGAAGAACTGAGCACCGGTATTCCATGTTTAACTTTTCGGGCTGAGTTAACATGTTTGTACAAAAGCTTGAGATTTTAAATAAATCTTTGTGCTAGAGATTCTTGATGGTTTAGTTTATCTTCGCTTACCAACTTGGTGCAGTGGTTTCGCAGCAGTCGGTAATTGTTCCAGGTGCATGCATGCACGCTGAATTTCGTCGTCTACAGAGCGAGTGAACTGAAAAGCCTGGAAGCAACATAACTTTTCAACTTTAAGTGAATCCGTTGTAACTTCAAGTGAATTCAACCAATAGCATGCCATTGGCAACCCTAGGAGATGCTTGGTGTTTCGGCCGTCAAACGTTACCGTTTGGATCGAGTGTCTAAACCCCATCCAGTTCGAATGAACTAGCTTCTCGTTGATTGGGTGTTCGTTATAGACGAATGATTCATTCCAACATTCACGTCTGAGCATGATGACCGGTTTATCGATCTATCTTGACACGATTTACTTCCTTACCCTACCGACCGAGGTCAATTACCACCGCGTTTGTTCATTCGCGTCTATAACGCACACGCGATCAACGATCGCGGACATAAAGTTCGAGGGTGGGTCGGGGTGGGGGGAGAGACCAACAGCCCACCCCACGGAAATTTTCATCTTCGCTCGGTAACTCACTCAAAATGTGTGTTTCTTTATAGAGAAGTTAGTTCATTCGGGCTGGACGAGGTTTGTGTTTGTTTGTTTGTTCTTTTTAGTAAATTAAAATTCGCGCCCATATCCTGTTTTCTTCGCTATTTTTTAATCTTCACGACAATTCAATATTGTTTAGGTTTTCATTCGCAACTGTCACATGTACGTGCGCCTGGGTACTATCGAATTAAGTCGCTTCAGTCGTCATGCCTCACGGGCCCTCATCACTGGTCCGCTGACTGCTGAAGTGATTACGCAAGCCGCCGCTTCCGCCGCAGCCAGCGTGGCTTCTGTAATGCGTGATGCGGCCTCCGGTTTACCGGATGCACAGAGTTCAAATTATCTGGTCACATCTATACAAGTCCCGTCCCAAACCAAACCCGCGTTCAAACCGTCGTTTGGAGGCCATCATTATGCTAGCGGATTTTCTTGGGACGAGTCCAGTCGGTTATGCGACTATACCCATGTCAATTCGTTTTCCTACGATTGTTATCTGCGAGTTGTACAGGATTATCTATCGCGTAAGTCAGAAGAAATATTTTTTTGAATCATATTTATACGTGTGATTTTTCTAACCTGGCTCCGGACAGACCAGTCAAAGGTGATCTAAGCCTGTGCGGCATAATGTTATGTGAAAAATTCCCAATGTGTTGTCGGTAATTCACCAGGACGGTATTACACCTTAACTCGAGGTGATCATTTTGTTCCTCAGTGAAACCTATTGAGACCGGAATTCTTGTGGGATTGCGAATTGGAACGGATGATACTCCAACGAGACGCAGGCTGAGCAATTTATTTTTGAGTACCTATGACTGCCATCACTTGTGTCAAAGCATCAGGCTTCTTCAGGCAAAGAACGGTTGTAGCAGGATATCAAAGTTGGCGCTCTCAATGCCATATTCATTCGCCACTTGTCGACCTCACTTTCCATCTGTTCATCACGCGTCCTTTATAATGTGGAGTGCTTCTCAGGTTTTAATGTGAAAAACGTCTTACCAGTTGTAATTCCTCCTGTACTTCGCGTATCCCTTTGTGCTGGGGTGAATCGTTTGTCGTCCCGATCTTCAAGAAGGGGTTACGCAACGACTGTGCTAACCACCGCGGGATTAGTTTAATTCTAATAATCACAAAAGTGTTGATTTCTGTGATACTTTATCGCCTGACATCCTTAAGGGGAAAGAATATTCGCGAACAGCAAGCCGGATTCCGACCAGGTCGCGGTTGCATCCATCAAATTTTCAGTTTGCGTCAAGTCCTCGAATTGAGTCACATCCCCGGCCAACAATCACTGTGTTCCTTGACCTAAACAAGCCTTGGATTCAGTTGATTGTGAAGCTCTTCTAAGATCGCTGCTCCGCAAAGGAATGCCGCGGAAGTATGTGAACCTATTGCAGTCGCTGTACCTGCATATTTCTGGTAGNGCGTAAGGGTCTACATTGGGCTGTGTAAATTGTTCGAAACCGGTGTTCGTCACGGGTGCCTTATTTCGCCACTCCTGTTCAATTTCATCTTAGACGAAGTACGGGAGAACGCACTTAGTGGTCTCGAAAACGAAGGTATTGAAGGGACAGCTAGAGAAAAACTGTGATTTAGAGTACGCTGGCGACATCGTATGTCTGTTAGAATCTATGACAATGCGCAAACTGCTTCTTGACAGACTTTCATATTCTGTAACTCCTTTCGGCATACGCTTTACACCTTAAAAGTGCAAACTGCTGCTTCAAGACTGGCTCTCGTATACCCCAGCGCTGATGCTTGACGGTCAAGGTAGATGTGTGCGTGACAAATGACGGTAGCATAGTCAGTGAAGTAACCGCCCGCATTTCCAGGGCTCGAGCAGCCTACACAGGAGTGAAATACCTTTGGTTCAGACGCGATGTTTCGTTGAAACTGAAAGGTCGTGTGTATTGAGCCAGCGTGCGGGCAGTTCTACTGTGTGGTTGTGATACCTTAAATTTACTCGTGGAGGATATTCTTCGCGTAGAAGTGTTCCACTCTCGATGTTCATGTAGTATGGCGCGGTTGGACGGAGCGAGTGTGTAAGCAACTCTGAGGTAAGGTATTTGGTAATGATTCGATGGAGACTTCGTTGTCCCATCGAATTCAGATTAGTCGGCTTCGTTGGTTAGGACAACTATTGCGCATGCCCAACCATCGTCTACCGCACCTCATTCGCAGTTGCGGCCCCAGGTTGGAAGGAACCGCATGGAGGTCGACAGATGACGTGGAAACGAGGCATGAAGAAATGCACAGAACGATTAGGTAGAACAGGTATCTCCCGTCTTCCAGGTTTGGGTCCAAAAGACTCCGCAACTGGCTGGTTCGAGACACTGAAGGATATGGCGACTAACCGACAGCAGTGGCGTCCTTGTTGTTATTTCTTATCAGATCAGAATGCTTGAAAAGGTATGCATGGACACTTGGATTGTGTGCTCTGTGTGTTGTCCATAGAGGTTCTTTTTCTTTGCCTCCCTCCAAGTAGGCCCATTTCCTCCTCATCTTGTGCTTTATCACTTGATTTGTGTACATTGTGAGCTTGGCAGCGATCAGTGAAGCTCGCTTCACTATATCTCGCCGTACGATGATGATGATGATTTCCGATCCGTTTCAAATGCGGAACTACTTCCCTAGCTGGGGCAATCACCTCCATTGTGATTGGATCACTTCATGCTTTCGTTATTCAGAGACCGTTCTAGTTCGAGCACACTCATTTCGATGCCCCAGACACCGAAATATTTCGTCCTCTGCGAAAGTTTTTCCATAGCTTTTGTATCTGCTGCACTTAAATTATCTGAAAAGGTGACTCTTAAATGGCTACCACAGCCAACGAACATTACCAATGATCCTTTGCAGTTTTCTCACGTGCCAAGCAGATACACTTGTGGTGCAGTTTCTTCAATTGGTCACTGTACCTTGATGCGGTACGATAGCTTGCTTACCTTCATGACTCTACGAGATACATAGGGTGGCTCCTTACAGCCATCAATCATCCCTGATTGGCCAATGGGTAGGGTCCAGTGGAAGCATAGTCTGAGAGGGCTAACTGTTTAGGACCCTCTCGACTTCCCTTGACTATCCATTCACCTCCTAGAATGGTCAGTCCAGAAAACAAACATGGGAAGGAGCAGTTTGCTGGTCAAAGCGCCTCCGCTAGATGGGCTTACCTGGGGTTTCTGACGGTGGGGGAAGTCTTCGCACTTCATTGGACAGCTGCCGCCCCCTGAGCTTGTGCAGCACCCAATTACTGAGGTACCATCTCGTCCAAGTTCCGGCCGTTTCAATGGGTGTTTGAAGTTAAAGGCGGATCCCGAACAGCAGACCGTCAACCAACGCATCAATAAACAATACACTGAACCGAAACCTAATGGCCTTGTTAGATAGCACCCTAGAAGCTTCCACACGGGTGCTTGGGTCCCGTTTTAACGTTGGATTTACGCCATATTGCCTTGTCGGTCCTGCTTCTGAGTCGTAGGCTCCGATCAGCCTCTCAGAAGAAAGACACCTTCGTCGGTGTGGGCTACCGCGAAGTATCTCGTGTCCTAAAATCACAGGCACCCATTTGGATAAGCCTCTTCTCATTTGGCAGATCCTCTTTCTAATTCTTTGGTGTGTTTTTCTTGATTATTTCCATTCATTGACCGTTGACTGCTTCAAACATTTATTGTTTTGGTTATTTAACTAGTTTTCCCAAAGGACCCATCGCTGCTCATTCAAACCCTTATTGAACTTCATCGAAATGTTTCAAGGTGCTTTACTGTCCCCATAATTTTGCGCTATTCCTTTTTCTTCGGTATGTGTTTTGAAGTGTAGTGACGCTGCTTGTTTCTACTAGTCCGTTTCTTCTCCGACCAACATCAGTTTATTCATTGATCTTCTTTCACCGGATTCAGCTTTTCTCTCAATCTCGTCTGCTTATAAATACAAACAAATGACATCAATGTATATGTTAGTTTTCCGCTCTTCTCTTCTTCAAAATCCCACAGTAATAAAAAACGGATTTTATCTAAGCGAAATTTTGCCAATCAACTTCGAGTCACTTTAGATCACGATCTTCGTTGCCATTCACTGCGTTGGTAAACTGCGAGGCTTGTCATTTCAAATTGATAAGCTTACACTGCTTCACTTTTCTGCTTCTTGGCTCACTTCAGAAACCATTTTAAAGTCTTACACCACAGTCTAACGATTTTTAGTCGTGTTTCCTCAACTTCCATGCGTTAATTGAAAAACTTTCAGGTCGTCGCATAATTTTTATTGTATACTTCACGGACAGGATTCCCGCAGACCAGCACCACCCATTGTACTCCGAATTTACATAGTCGTATCTGTCCCTTTACAAACTTTGAATTACGACACACAGCATCTCCCCGAACTGTTCACCGAAGTTCATCTATGCCCTATTCCGGGTATTTGTTCACGGATCGATAGAGAGGGGGAAAGGGAGAGAGAAATGGCGAGTGAACACTGCCCTAACTTTAGGCCGCCAGTTAATTTTACTACCTCCGCACTCTATTTTTTTCGTGAAGTCTGTTCTGTGTCACTGTTGGTGTTTGTAGTCTTTTGACTGAATCATAAGCTTACAAAAGTGTAATACCGGGGCATAGATATGATTTTCATTGAACTCTTCAGAATAAATCAGACTTTGTTTTACTGTCTCTTTGGTAGACCAGCAANCCCGTCTTATTAGTGCCGATTGGATTGGAGTACCGGACTATCCGGTGACAGATTTCCTAGCGGATCTGTTCTATCTGGTTCCCAATCCCCCCGTATTTTCGCGAGGCTGTTTATCCTCGTTCCAACTGAGTTGCCCTGTGGGGGTGTGCTCGCGACCAGAGCAAGTGTTTCATCATTTGATCGAGGAGCATCCGAGCTACGCAATCCAGGTAACAAAACGGGTACACTGTTTTGCGGTCTGTTGATAGCCTTTTCCAACACGAAGCATTCAGTTATGTCCTAGAATTTCCCATAGCAAAGATTGGTATCAACATATTTTCCATGGTTTCTGCACTCACCGCCAGATATTAGTGTTTTTCGTTGTCTTCAACCATTACTTCGTGCCGTAACCGTGCCCCTAAGCTGCATATCCATATTGAATTTTCTTTGGTGTAACACGATCTATTGTTTATTATGTTTTTCTGTTTCTGTGATTACTGGTTACTGTGTTCCGGAATTTCACACCGCGCCTGGGTATGCTATCAAAGGCATTGAAGAATGCCGGAACACATAGAACACTTTTTGATGTCTGCACTCCACCAGTATTTTGGTAAAGTTAGCTTTGATGTTAACTTAGACTGATGTTTCCCATCTTGCTGTTGTCGAACAGATGAGAGTTGACGGTGGTTAGGGACGTTGAGGCATATAGCGATGCACAGGAGTTAGTAGCGCGAATGCTGTTAACTTTTGTGTTGTCAATCCACCAAACATGTAATAGTATACTGCGCAACGAATGTAATTGTCTGTCCCCCCAGTTGATGGCACATCTATAGAATACCAATGAATCAACATATTCACCAAATTGTTTTAGTTCTACTGTTTTAATTCCCGTTATGCATCAGATTATTCGGATGAATCGAACTGCACGTGGATTCGAACCGGGCCTTGAACCTTCCAATGTCGCTCCATCGTATAAATTTGCCATTCTGGTCCAGCATCTGACTGAGTCCACCCATACCACTTCCTGTCGGCCTTCGCTGACACGTCAGGCTAGTCACCCCGAATCGAGAGAGCACAAACAGTCTTCCATCACGCCGTTCACGTTACTTCCTTCCAAATCTCTAATGTCCCCCAAAATTCAATTTGATTCAGTGATGAGCGAAGAATTGACGAATTTGAGCGAAACGGAACGGCTATATTTTCCCAATTTACCTCATTCGGTAACTGCCTGTGTGGTTGTTGATGAACGAACTGCGAGCACGGGAAACACCGTGGTCCCCAATCCCGGATCCAAACTCAATTTGACAGTCTATCTGATGGTCACTGATCCGCATAAACAGTTCCCGAAGTCACGCCTAGCTAGTGTTCAAGACTGCTCTCGTGTAAGTGAATATAAATGAGTCCAACCGGATACTTAACATAGTGTGTTGAGTATGTTCATAAAACTTACAATACCTATGAATCCACCATCTAATCGGAATCCTTATTCACATTATTTCCCCTGGTAATGAAAACGTTTCATTGTTCTTGGCTGAGGTGACAGTGTTCGCGTATCTTAGCTAGTCATACCCATAACTACTGGGAAGCGATGATCGGAAACGGAGTCCGTCAAAGTTGGAGCAAAAAGTTGCAAACACTGTCGACAGAAAACATAGTCCACTAGTACGGAGTCGTCTACTCCCTCAATTTCAGCACCAATTTTCTTCCAATTGTTCTGTGTGCTTGAATTCGCACAAAATGGCAGCTTTGATACAGCTAATGTGCACAGCTCTTGTTCGTTAATGTAACCCCAAACGTATTACCACCAAGTGCATCTCATCAGGTAGTTTTGGATAAACCAAAGTTATTGCATCGATAAACTTCCATCCCCGAACCTATTCGTCGTATAAGAATGCGGTTGGGTACCTAAACGAGAGCTGATTATTATTTGGAAAGTTATCCGAACTTCTTAAGTTTCTGGATTGCTGATGCTGCACGAGAGAGCGAGTACCTCGTTCTACTTGTTGTCGCCTGCTTGCTCAATTTCCTTAATTCTCCACACTTATAGCCCTCACCGGATTACAGCGTTTTGATCTATGCACACCATATCTTGCTTTCTATGTACTTCACTCTCTTCCAGCTTCGATACCCGGTTGAATGGCCTGGTGTAGCACCTTTTGTCAAACCTGATGCCTTCTTCCATGGACAAGCGGATCAAGTGTCTACACGCAATTACGCAGTCGAAGATGCCGATGCACTTGCAGCACTTAGTACGTCGTTTTCAGGGTTGTGCCGAAACCGCCACGTATCATTCACAATGAATACCTATAATTGGAACCAACAGGTGACACATGGGACTCGCAGCGGTGGTGCTGGTGGTAAAAGTAATAATTCCGGTGTATCCACCATCACTGGTGATCTACGCTGGCATGTCACCTATCTCGGCATGTGGCCTTCCCATCATCTCCATGTGCAACGTTCGATCGAGGCAGCACGTGAGGTGATTGAACAGCAGATCACTAATTTGGTTTCACGTTCTGGTCTGGATTGCCATAAAAACTTACTGTGGTATCGATTGTTTGATATGCATCACTGCCTGGATTCGAATGCAGTCCAATCACTTGCGTCCGTGGTCATGGACAATGGAGCTCCGCTCAAGAACGGCTCCCCAACTGATAGTTCTTGTGCATCAAGTGGACATCAACCATTGTCTGCAAAGGAAATTGAGGCAAGTCTCCGGAACTGAATTTCTGTTATTTCTTACGAAACACAACGTGGTGACCGTAGTCATTTTGCGAGCGCACATTACCGAGTATATCCAGTGATGTACCTTTAATTGACAACACGGCTTCGTACTGACTTCATTCCACAGGGTATCGGTAAAACTCTGAACTTCCATTTGGGACAAATCTGATATGCATTGGTCTCCTAGTCAACGGCCACAAATCGTAGATGCACAAGTACATTACCCTCAAAATCCAGTTAGCATACGAAGGTAGAAAAATGAACTACTATGCTTCAGTAAGAAACGGCTTACTGAGGTTTTAGTGGCTGAAAAAAATTAATAAAGAAATTCGGGCACTAACCGTGATGTATCTCTTGCCTTGCGTGCATCAGTTGCCTGCTGCTAGATGTTTTATGGTTTGCAGATATAAACTAACTAAATTCACTGTGGATGTTATGTTAACTTGTTAGGATTATTGCAATTTGATGGTATTTTTGTGTGATGGCCGACAAACAGCAGTTTATTCGTCCTTGGTACTGGCCAGCAGTGCGCACCTTTGGTGTTCCAGCACCGTTATTCAAGCCACTACTCTTCAGGTTGGGAATCGAAACCGTTACTTCTGTGGCAAATTGTCGGCTGCCAGCACCTTGTTCGAATGGCTATAGTTACTCTTAATGTTAGGTTAGAATTAGAATATGTACTTTCCCAATCACTAGACTCCGTATGTGGTCGTTATTTATTGCGAGTAGATTTTTAAAGCTTGGTTTTTCTCTATCTACACTTTCCATCATCGAAAACCGTTCTGGCATCTAGTCGTTTAGCATGGATTACGGTGATCCGTGATCTTCATAAAATTTAGTTATCTGCCAGCAAGTGAAAGTCGCGTAACAATCAAGACTATTCGAGTCCAGTTTAAGCAGTCTAAATTTTGAAATGGGTTCAGAATAGTTAGGTTTTTTACAGAAAATATGAAACTCCTAAAGTAATTAATTGATACCCTCGGGTTAAGCAGAGCTGAATGCCCTGGGTTGTGAATAGCGGGATACCTCCGCCGAAGAAGGTTAGCTGTGAATAAGTTGTGGCATACCGCAATAAATGACTAGCCGCGAACAAACAGCGGCGGTACTACCAGGGTGTGCTGGGTTTCATGCTGGTCACCTGGCGCCTAAACCCAATGGCGCTGCCGTGACAAAGGTCAATGTGACTGGCCTTTTAAAACTCAAGCCACTAACCCCCTCACTTCCGAGGCGAGGGATTACTTCCTCCTGCATCGCGGTTCGCACTTGGTTGACAGGTGTGCCCTCAAAATAAAAAAAACGCCGAGCGACGCTGGGGACGTCTCTCGTACCAAACTCCCAAGGGACTCCATGATCATATCTGGAGCCGGCTTGTCTTCTCCAAGGAGCCAGCAGCAGTAGAGTGAATTAAGCGAAAGTATTTAACTGAACTCAAATTCATGTACCGTTTGCTCTCCAGCATATCCTCCCCTAAGTGCTCCTATGATTTACCTTTCTTTGTTCCTTTAGGACTTAGTTCGATCAGCGCCGTTCCAACTCGACATTCTTACTTTGGATGCTCGTTTGCGTGAGCTGGTGGAAATTGGTGCGTGCCACTTTGTACAAGCAGGGGACCTCTTGAACGTTGAATTCATTCATGCACAACGACAATCGCGAGAACCGCCAGTGCCTACACGGTCCGGTCAAGGAGCAACCGTCACTGTTCACCCGGTTGCGTTCACCTGTCTTTTCCAACAAACGCCCGCTGCGTCTACTCCTACCACTGCTTGGCTGACGCACTATATGGTGATACTTTCGCCCACATTTACGGAGGGTTTTGTAATCTTGTCCTGGTGTGAACAGAGCATGAGATCGCAACCGACATGCACAAGATCGTTCAATCGGAATGTGCAACAGGCTTTTCGAGTAAGCCTTATCTATTTTAGAATATTGTGCCGCACTGGAGTATTGTCA